CTGACTGTTTATCCAGGGCTTCTGGTTGGGGAACCTCCTGACTTGTATGGTGGACACAGTGTTGTCGATACAGGTACTAATGTATCCGGTCACATACTCAGCATAATCCTGTACGCTGACAGAAAAGTGCTCCGAGGTGGCTGCAGCTTTAAACACATCCAAGTCTGTCTGGGCGAAACAGTCCTGCAGGGTGCCTTCAGTCTCTGGGGTCCAGAGTTTAAGTTGTTTGGTGACACGGTTTGTTTGTTTCAGTCTTTGTCTGTAAGCTGGATACAGGAACAAAGAGCGTCCAAGGTGGGGGCGGGGTGCAGCCCTGTATGCACCACGTATGTTACTGTAAACATGATCCAGAGCGTTCTTTCCCTGGGTGGGAATGTTCATATGTTGGTAATATTTGGGAAGTACAGTCTGTAAATTGCACTGGTTAAAGTCGCCTGCAGCGATAAATACAGCATCAGGGTGCACTGTCTCTAGCGCGCTGATGCCATCATAGAGTTTGCTGAGAGCCGCAGAGGGATTAGCTCTTGGGCTAACATACACAGCAGCCAGAAACACAGCATTATGCTCTCTTGCTAGATAATAGGGCCAGCATTTCAGCAATTAAAAACTCTACGTCTGGCAAACAGTGCTTATAAACAGTCCGTACATCTCCACACCACGAGTTCACTCTCCTGATTTCAGCCTGCTCGCTTGTGCCTGGTGCTCTGGGGGCTCCCTGAGGGTGATGGTGGTTGTCGTCGTCATCATCGTTGTTGTTGTTGTTGTTGTTGCGGGAGCGGACACTGAGTTGTAGCTCCGGTGGTATGAAACCAGTAAATTCCCAGCAGCTGTGTGAGATGGCGATAACCAGCAATGCCTGTCTGCTGTATGTTAGCAGTGTATGACATTTGTGCACTGCAAAAAAGTAAAAAACACAAAAAAAAAGAAAACGCCGGCATTCAACAGTGGAACGCGCAAACACGTCTGCCTCGGTGAGCGCCATGTTGTTTATACATAAAACCAAAATGTATAAAAAATGCCCTTTAATAAAATCTGAGAATGTACACTTTAACCATATGCAATTTCTTTATAAGTTACAAATCTCAAATTGCAGAGTACAGAAGCAAATGTATAAATCATGTGTTTTTGTCCCATACAGTGGGTACAGAAAGTATTCAGACCCCCTTAAAATTTTCACTCTTTGTTATATTGCAGCCATATGCTAAAATCATTTAAGTTCATTTTTTTCCTCATGAATGTACACACAGCACCCCATATTGACAGAAAAACACCAAATTTTTGACATTTTTGCAGATTTATTAAAAAAGAAAAACTGAAATATCACATGGTCATAAGTATTCAGACCCTTTGCTATGACACTCATATATTTAACTTAGGTGCTGTCCATTTCTTCTGATCATCCCTGAGATGGTTCTACACCTTCATTTGAGTCCAGCTGTGTTTGATTATACTGATTGGACGTGATTAGGAAAGCCACACACCTGTCTATATAAGACCCTACAGCTCACACTGCATGTCAGAGCAAATGAGAATCATGAGGTCAAAGGAACTGCCTGAAGAGCTCAGAGACACAATTGTGGCAAGGCACAGATCTGGCCAAGGTTACAAAAAAATTTCTGCTGCACTTAAGGTGCCTAAGAGCACAGTGGCCTCCATAATCCTTAAATGGAAGACGTTGGGGACGACCAGAACCCTTCCTAGAGCTGATCGTCCGGCCAAACTGAGCTATCGGGGGAGAAGAGCCTTGGTGAGAGAAGTACAGAAGAACCCAAAGATGACTGTGACTGAGCTCCAGAGATGCAGTCGGGAGATGGGAGAAAGTTGTAGAAAGTCAACCATCACGCCAGCCCTCCACCAGTCAGGGCTTTAGGGCAGAGTGGCCCGACAGAAGCCTCTCTTCAGTGCAAGACACATGAAAGCCCGCATGGAGTTTGCTAAAAAACACCTGAAGGACTCCAAGATGGTGAGAAATAAGATTCCCTGGTCTGATGAGACCAAGATAGAACTTTTTGGCCTTAATTCTAAGTGGTATGTGTGGAGAAAACCAGGCACTGCTCATCACCTGTCCAATACAGTCCCAACAGTGAAGCATGGTGGTGGCAGCATCATGCTATGGGGGTGTTTTTCAGCTGCAGGGACAGGACGACTGGTTGCAATCGAGGGAAGGATGAATGCGGCCAAGTACAGGGATATCCTGGACGAAAACCTTCTCCAGAGTGCTCAGGACCTCAGACTGGGCCAAAGGTTCACCTTCCAACAAGACAATGACCCTAAGCACACAGCTAAAATAACGAAGGAGTGGCTTCACAACAACTCCGTGACTGTTCTTGAATGGCCCAGCCAGAGCCCTGACTTAAACCCAATTGAGCATCTCTGGAGAGACCTGAAAATGGCTGTCCACCAACGTTTACCATCCAACCTGACAGAACTGGAGAGGATCTGCAAGGAGGAATGGCAGAGGATCCCCAAATGCAGGTGTGAAAAACTTGTTGCATCATTCCTAAAAAGACTCATGGCTGTATTAGCTCAAAAGGGTGCTTCTACTAAATACTGAGCAAAGGGTCTGAATACTTATGACCATGTGATATTTCAGTTTTTCTTTTTTAATAAATCTGCAAAAATGTCAAAAATTCTGTGTTTTTCTGTCAATATGGGGTGCTGTGTGTACATTAATGAGGAAAAAAATGAACTTAAATGATTTTAGCATATGGCTGCAATATAACAAAGAGTGAACAATTTAAGGGGGTCTGAATACTTTCCATACCCACTGTACATTATGGAGAGCACAGTATCAAAAATTCAAACTGTGCTTGCGGTGACTGACCTTGTTTTCCTGGGTGACCTGGATGCTGGTTCCTCCAGGTTTGAGTGGCACTTCTTCCATTGCCCCAAACACGTCTGTCTCTACAGAGAAGGTGAGCTCCAGACCCAGATCACTGATATCATTGTCCAGGATCCACTGTAAGTTCTTAGCATACTCTGGATCAATGGATGATACATCCTGGTAGTTCACTGGAATTCCTGGGAAAAAAATCATGGAAAAAAAATTATGATCACTGGATCCAGGAATTTATGCTGATAGCATGAGACTGTGCAATTTTATTTGACAAACCTATAAATGGGATTTCCAAAATAAAATTGTTACAAATCTTGAACCCTAAGGACTGCATTCACTCCCTTTTGACAGGTAACATTTTGTAGTTTTCTAACCAACATTCAGAATAAGCCTATGTCATACTGAAACAAAGTTACAGAGGCACAAACTCGGTAAAAATGTTAAGTATATCCTTGCCAATATTTTTTGTGTTTTTTTACATGGAAATACAGTATGTGACTGCTGGTGTGAGCCTAGAATCACAATGCCATGACAGCCACAAAGGTGGACAAATCAAGTCAAAGCTCCAAATACATTTGTCAGTCACACAGACTAAAGCATATGATTGGCTGAGTGAGATTGTGAATGTAAGTGTAGTGGTTAGAAACAAACAAACAAAATATAATAACAGATAACGTATAATGTGTAATGTGAAGTAAAACACATTAGAAAGGGATATAGTGTGAGTTAAAGAAAGTGGTTGTGTAACAGCCACCAAGGCATTGACCTTGTGTGCTTCCAGAAGTGCATGTGCTGCTCTCAAGAGGGTGCTGGGCGCCTGACTGCCAGCTATTCAAAGCATCTAGCATCTAACAGCTCCTAAAAAGGAAAGTTTAAGGGTTGATGCTATTGGGGAAACAATGATAAGAAGCGAGAGATGGGAATAAAGGGAGCAGCAGAGTTGGTCAGTGGAGAGCATTTGGAAGGACAGATGAACAGGCAGATCCCGGCCGAGAGGGGACCAACCTGACTCTGGACTTTGACTGACAGTACCCTGTGGCCACAGTGACTGACTGTGACAATCTCCTTATTGAATACTGTATCTATTCCAATGCAGATGGAGTGATTCTGTTCTCTGTTCCATAACTACCAGATTACCTATTTAACTACTACTCTGTTCAGAATAATTGTAAAATTAAATGATTATTTAAATTGGGATGATTTGTCTGGATTAATTTAGTCATTCTAGCAACGACATAAGCTTATCTGAATCATGTTCTTGAAGCCTGAATGACAGCATTTTGTTTTCAGGCATGGACACTTTGAATGTAGCAATGTTTCCCCATGATAAGGACCTTTAAATGTTAAAAACCACCAGCAAACAAGCTAACCTGAGAGAATTGCAAAACAAACAGCAGTGGTTTTATGGATTGCACATTGTTGGAGTACTACCTAGCTAACTGACTAAAGATGACTGCTCTACAATAAGAATTTCACTCGATAGATGACAGAAAAAGTAAGCAATTACTGTTTCACTCTGTATGAACCCTCATTAAATGATTTACACCATTAAACTTGTGATGCGTTGTGCCAATCAGCACATATGCTAAAGGGGGTTAATTTGGCCCAACAAGCAGAACAGTGTGGAGTAATTAATGCCATTAAGGTGTTCCTGAGATATCAGGAACAAAGATGGGACAGATGTATGGTTACAGTGACCTTGACCATCAAAATCTAATCAGTTCATCCTTGCATACTAAAGTTAGTCATGGTGTTCTCCACAGGGCTCTGTGCTAGGTCCAGTTCTCTTCCTTTTATACATGCTTTCTTTAGGTAATATTATTAAGAAACATGGTATAAATTTTCATTGCTGTGCAGATAATACTTAGCTATATTTATCTGTGAACACAGATGAAACAGATCAGTTGGTCAAACTTCAAAAATGTCTTAAAGACATAAAGGCCTGGATGCCTTGTAATTTCTCACTTCTAAATTCTGAAAGAAAAGTAAAGTCATTGTACTTGGGCCTGAAAACCTTAAAAATCTGATGTCTAACCATATAATTTCTCTAGATTGCATAGCCCTGGCCTCCAGTACTGCTGTGAGGAACCTTGTAGTTATTTTTAATCAGGATATGGCCTTTAAATCACACATAAACCAAGTCTATAGAACTGCCTTCTTTGACCAAAGCAAAACAGTCTAAATTAGGAGCATCCTGTGTCAAAGTGATGCTGAAAAACTGGTCCATGCATTTGTTACTTCCAGGCTGGACTACTGTAACTCTTTACTATCAGGATGACCCAACAATTCCCTGTGAGGGAACTGGGAGACATCCCCCACACTAAGGTTAGAGACACACAGTTCAAAGACACACATGCATATTGACTGATAAAATTATACATTATAGACTACATTTTAATTCCTGAGCTGGCGCTCAGGAAGTTCGACCTGCCCCAGGAGCTGCTGATACCGTGGTGTTTCTCTACAGGCTAGAGAGGTCCAGGAGGATGAAGAGCCCAAAGTGAAACCGGGAGACTTGGTGTTTGTTAAAGTATTCAGGAGAAAGTGGGACTTTCCTCAAAAAGAAGGTCCATATAAGATGGTCAGTGCAGTATTCAGGGCAGTGCAAGTGAAAGGTTCGCCTACGTGGTATCATCTGAACCACTGCGTGAAGGTCCCTGAGGTCACGGACAGTTCAGAGGCAGAAGTGGTGCCAAGAGAGGAAAATGAACATCACCTGGAGCATCAGCCAGAGTCAGAGGAGGGGAGTGAGCTTGATACTCCTCCTGACAATGATGCTGGTCATGATCCAGCTGTGCTTCCATCTCCTTGACTCTCCAGAGGAGGGAGAGCAAGGGAGAGGTGATGGAGCTGTGGTAAAAAGTAGAGTTGTTTTTGGCGGCCTGTTGCAATTTTAGTCTAGTCTTTTTGTGAAGCTGTCATTTTAGTTTTTATTAGTTTTAGTCACGTTCATACTCTTTTTAGTCTAGTCTAGTTTTAGTCGACAAAAACTGATGACATTGTAGTCTTATTTTAGTCAGAATTATCCATGGCTATTTTTATCTAGTTTTAGTTGACAAAAACTGATGACATTGTAGTCTTATTTTAGTCAGAATTATCCATGGCTATTTTTATCTAGTTTTAGTTGACGAAAACTGATGACATTTTAGTCTAGTTTTAGTCAATGAAAATTGTATTTTAGTCTCTTTTTAGTAATGCAATTCTATTTAACCCAGTCAATATAGTATAAGTACCTAGTAGTACAGAGGAAACCAAAAGTTTCTTTTAGCCAAACCCATTTCAAACAAGGTTATCTTATTATATTATTGTTACCTTATAGACTCAAGAATACATCCAATACACATTTTGTGTGATTTTGTGGCCACATTTCTCCCCATCTTTTTCCACAACACATTGTTTTCTTTTCCACTTCTATGCAATGAAAGTTTTTCCAGATGTCGTTTCTTCTTTTTCTCCCAATGACGAACCTCGGCTGGCCACCCATTGGTCCCTTTCTCTGTGTCAGACTTAACTTTGTTTGTTGCCGTCTTCTAAAAAATGCCGCGAGTGGGGCTTAAGGAAGTGACGGCACCTGCGTCTGCGCAGTGCGACCTGATGCAGCCCCTGAAGCGAAACACAGGAAAATTAAGAGACATTTTGGTATAGTTTTTATTTTTTGAACCACATTTAGTCTAATTTTTTTCATCAACGATATTGCATTATACTTTTTTTTTTTTTTTTTTGATTTTTGATTTATTCTTTCAAACATGTAACAACAGTCAATATGTCAACACACATAATTCCACACATATCCACAAGTATATTATCAATTTGCTTATACCTAGTACATGCTTGAACGGAGTAGGAAGAAGTTAGACTTATCTAGTCCTACCCCCTAACATCATCTTATCATCATTGGTTTGCAAGCAGTATTACTACATAGATAATTTTGTTCTGCACCACGCTAGTGATATACTAAAACACCACACTCACAATGTTACACCTGATTAATCATTAAGCCTGTTCTTGCCCATATCTTGA